TGGTTTGCACAGCTAGATTAGACAAATCTAGCTAAACTTTACTAAACTAGATACCATAGTGAATGTAAAGCATCCCAACCACTATGTGTTAGTTTTTGGAAAACTCAATGAAATGGTAGCCACTAAACCAAAGTTTTGGCTTTTTAAAAAGAAAAACACCAATATTTATTTATTTGTTAGCTTATTTATTAGATTTACATTCTGTGTTTCATTCAAGAGCTCAAGGTGGCATGTATAATGCTTTCTTCTCCTGTTTCACCATACAACAACAACCCTCTGAGGTAGGTTAGACTGAAAGAGAATGACCAACCCACTGACAGTAAAATTCATGGCTGAGGGTGGACTTGATCTTGCATCCCCCTGTAACTGCTACACTGCACTGGCTTTCATACTGGCTCTAATGCTTTGAACTGTAAGAATGAGTATTTGTTTTTATTCCATTAATATATTTTATAATAAGATGGCATTTCAGTAAGTGCATCAACCTATTCTTTTTGCTGGAATAGACAGCTATTGTGTCCAAGTAAATTTTTTCTTGGATTTTTGCTATAGTTTAAAGCAAGTAAACTATGTATGTAAACTTAGTTTTTTCTTGAATAAGGAGTTACTAGGGGGAAACAGAATTTAGAATGTTGATTTCATTGACAGATGTATATAATACCCTATCATGGTTGATTGATAACTCTGCATCTTTAACAGGAGAACTTCTGTTACAACTCTGCAGGCTGGAAGAGGCAGCTGAGATTTATAGAGGATTGCAAGAAAGAAATCCTGAAAATTGGGCTTATTATAAAGGTTTAGAAAAAGCACTTAAACCAGGTAATGATATGTTTTGGTTAATGTAGGTGTGAATTATATAGCCCTACATTTTTATGTGAAAAATTAAGAATTAGGAAAAATTAGGAAAATGCGTTACTATCTTGAATTCACTATCTGAACAACTATGCAGTTGAAGAATATTGAATATGATGGATGAGGTCCATATGAATTGGAGCACATATGTATGCTGAGAGCGATGTGGAGCAGATTCTGATAGTCTTGTGAGCTGGAAAAGGATATGGCTGCTTTTATGATGAAAAGAGGTACAATTGTATGTGCTCTTCTGTGTTCCAAAACACTTCTTTCAAAGGATTTGTACTGCCATAATACATATACAGAATTATTTTACTGTTGAAAAATGAATTTGTTTTATGAAGGCTACCCTAAACATTTATTTTGAATTTTAGTAAATTAATACATATTTCTACAGTGGGGCAAAAAAGTATTTAGTCAGCCACCAATTGTGCAAGTTCTCCCACTTAAACAGATGAGAGTGGAGGAATGGGCCAAAATACCAGCAACAGTGTATGAAAACTGGAGGAATGGGCCAAAATACCAGCAACAGTGTATGAAAACTGGAGGAATGGGCCAAAATACCAGCAACAGTGTATGAAAACTGGAGGAATGGGCCAAAATACCAGCAACAGTGTATGAAAACTGGAGGAATGGGCCAAAATACCAGCAACAGTGTATGAAAACTGGAGGAATGGGCCAAAATACCAGCAACAGTGTATGAAAACTGGAGGAATGGGCCAAAATACCAGCAACAGTGTATGAAAACTGGAGGAATGGGCCAAAATACCAGCAACAGTGTATGAAAACTGGAGGAATGGGCCAAAATACCAGCAACAGTGTATGAAAACTGGAGGAATGGGCCAAAATACCAGCAACAGTGTATGAAAACTGGAGGAATGGGCCAAAATACCAGCAACAGTGTATGAAAACTGGAGGAATGGGCCAAAATACCAGCAACAGTGTATGAAAACTGGAGGAATGGGCCAAAATACCAGCAACAGTGTATGAAAACTGGAGGAATGGGCCAAAATACCAGCAACAGTGTATGAAAACGATGAACTTTTGATATTGACCAAATACTTATTTTCCACCATGATTTGCAAATAAATTCTTTAAAAATCAGACAATGTGATTTTCTGGATTTTCCCCCCCATTTTGTCTCTCATAGTTGAGGTATACCTATGATGAAAATTACAGGCCTCTCTCATCTTTTTAAGTGAGAGAACTTGCACAATTGGTGGCTGACTAAATACTTTTTTGCCCCACTGTATGTTTTCTGTATGTTTCATTATTCCAAAAAAATTAATTTGGCACAAAATTAACGTCAACTATTTACTTCAAGGATGGGCAGCCTAGTCCTTGTAAATAGCCATGAAAGTGAGCCCCAAACCTAAGCATGTTGCCCTTTTACTCACCAGGAGTTGAGTTTGAATCAAAGGCTATTTTAGTTGGAAAATATCTCAGTAACAACAATACCACTATTATGGATATAGATAGAAAATCTTTCCTGATGATGCATCGCTTTGTTCAGATTTTTAAGAATTTTTAAAACTGGTTCTGGTATGCGATGGTTGAGGATGTGAAGAATGTTCATTCTTGGAACAAACATGTTCTATTCTGGAAGTTCTGCTGAATCATTCAGGGTTGGCCACAGTTCATCACCGACAAAATCCAGAAGTCTTTTTGGTCTCAGTTTTGGCTAAAGCAAAACTCAAAGAGATCTCAGAGTGATGTAACAAGACAAGCAATAGGTAAAGTTAGTGCACATTGTTCCCTCTTCCCTCAGGAGCTCCCACTGGCCTACCTACCACCTCCATCTTTCCAGATTCTCCTGGAAATCATGTCAAATTAAATCAAATCAAATGATCAGTTATAGGTTACAATTCAGTAACAATATTACAGGGGGGAAGGAAGTGGGATAAAGGCAGCTGAGCAATTTACACAGAAGAGAGGAGAAAGGAGAGGAAAAGTAAAAACAGGTAAGAAGTGTTTTTCAGACTCTATTTAGATATTCTTGACCTTTTGACTAAAATCAATCGTAGCTCCTCCGGCATCCCCTCAACCACCACTAATTGACAGGTGCAGCATACCCATCGACCCAACCAACACCTTCCCTCCCCTCCCCTTCCCCCACCTACCAACACCAACCTCTTTGGTGTTTTCCCACTCTTACCCTACCCAAAACATCCACCAGAATAGCTGTGCTTATCAAGACCAATACAGCCTCATTACATTCCATAATCAAACTGCACACACATATATATGTTTGTGCATGGATCACCTAAAAATATTCTGTGTTTGGAACAGTTTGTGCATGAACCATTTTACACATTCTTTATAGATATTTTTGCAATAGTGTAGTGAATTTTCAAAAGTTTTTAGATTATAATAAATGTATATTTAGTCATAGATTTCCAAATACAGGCTGATAAAATAAAGCAGCAATAGCAGTATGAAACATCAAAGGAATAGCTGAGATAATTTTTCCTGATGTTCTACAGCAGTGTATCTTAAACTTTTTTCTCTCAGGACTCCTTCCCACTTTTAAAAATTATGGAGGACCCCAAAAGAGCTTTTGTTTGTACGGATTATATTTTTTGATATTTACTGTATTAAAAATTAAAATTAACATATTTGCTGCCACTACTGCTTCTCATGATTGC